CCGCGCCTTTATAAAGCGATTTTTTGTGGTTTTGGAACTCCTGCCCCTGCTGCCAGCGACCTTGGACCCTCAACCCTGCACCTCTTCGGGTTGGTGGCTTTCCAGGTCTCTAATACAGTATTTTTGGGCATTCAGAGTCTCAAATAATTTATTGTCGCGGCAACCAGAGTCTCATTTCTTGTTTAAAAAGATTTCTTAATATAAAGCTCGACCGTAGGTTATTTATTGTCCCGGTAGGGGTTAGCGCCTTAGTAGCCTGGTGCTCCGAGTACCTTCATCGTACGTTTTGTCTGGACGGGGTTCGGCGGTCGAGGGTTCAGGGCTTTGGGTTTAGTGTTTACCGTTAGGGTTTAGGGCTCAGGAAGCTTGCATCCTGAGAAGTCGAACGGTCGCGTAATTCTACTATCTACCCGTGACTTGGGGGTTTCCAAAAATAGGGGACCCTACTATAGCACCCTAAATAATAGGATGCTTATTATAAGGACCCCAAAATAGGGTACCCTAATTGTCGGAAACTCGCATTTGGATCTCGTGCAACGGCTGGCTCAATTGCACAAAGCGGGAGTAGAGGACGAGTTCAGGTTAGAGGTGTTGTTTCAGGGGTTAAGATACGAAGGGACTTAGTAAGTATGGCGTGATTTGGGATACAGGAAGCGTAGCTGGCATTCCCCTGCTTGCAACCCTGCTCGTGCCTCAGGACCAAAAGATGTTTCAGAATGTGTGGTTATTGGCCCCGACTATTTCCCAACAGGAGTATACCACAATGTACCCAACCACCCTACTCTGATTACAAAGGCCGGCCCCTTATACTATATATCTTGCAACTTTTCTGACCCTCTCCGCCGGGCGAGAATTGGCTTCAGGAAATACACCATGCACAGTTAACACCGAATACGGAACTTGAAATCCCAAAATAGAACGCCGATAATCCTTCTGGAAGCTCTTGCAGAAATCGCAGGCAGCATCGTTATAGAAACCTAGTACGACAACTTAAACGGTCGCTGAGCTTCCAGACAGAAGAAGAGGCATACCTAATCCCACAGCCCTACATTCCACCCAGACCCTAGCTGCATAACTGTATATGGTTAGGATATAACAATCAGAAAATGAGAAAGCCCACATAAGGTACTAATTACATGTTAGACTCTTACATGCAGTACATTTGTTGGTTTTCTTCTGATTCTGGCATCATCGTAACCATGAGCTAAGTTGTCCAAGAAGATGTACGAGATGAACCCCACCACCCTGAAGCTCATACACTTCATTATCCCTTGAAGTCTTGGAACCCTGGACGCTCAAACCTAAATCCCTGTGTAAGACCCAACTTCAACTTAAACCCCCCTCAACCCTAAACCCTAAACCCCTACATCCCGGACCTTGCCCTGAAATGGCTCTAGTATTCCCATGCACCCTTCAAGCCTAGCCCCAAGCCCCAAGCCCTTAGAGGAGCCCTTCCAAGGAGCCCTAAAGCACCCCTTTCAAGTGACCCCTTAAACCCTAAGCCCTAAACCCTAAACCCTAAAACCCTAAACCCTAAACCCTAAAAAGGGCAAGGGCATGAAGCATGGTCACAAAGCTCATGGATGTGGCGGAAATCCGCTTTACCCAGGACGCGGCTCTGCCTTGGTAAACAGCTTCAGGAGCTTTGTGTCTACCTACAGTCTCGTTTGTAGATCCTTTTTGGGGGATACCTTTTAAAATCCTTAATATATAATTGGTTAAACCAAAAAAAGGAACTACAATGGAGACTATAGGTAGTGTCTTAAAGTGTTAGTGTTCAGGGTGTTTGGGGTTTAGCCTTGTTTCTATGTTGTTAAGGAGGGTTTTAGTGTCTTCAGGATTTGGGGCTTCTACAAGCAGAGCTTGGGGAGCGTTGGCTTTTGGATGCCGTGAGGGTTAAATTGTTCTAAACCCTAAGCCTTAAACCCTAAAGCGCAGGCCCTAAACCGTAGGCCCTAAGCCCTTGGCCCGGAATCCTGACCACAAGCGTTTAACCCTAAACCCTAAACCCTAAACCCTAAACCCTAAACCCTAAACCCTAAACCCTAAACCGTTGATGATATAGAAAGGGCTTCTTTAAGGGTACTACAAGGGATGCTTTAAGGGTTCCGCTAAGGGTACCAGAAGGGTTTAGGTTTTAGGGTTTAAGGGTCCATGTACCCAAATACTGATGATATAAATCCTGCATTACCTCAAGGACCCTCAACTATGCGATTTATGGTATATTCCTTATTATGGGTAATGCAGGATTTATATCAGCAACCATGTTTTGGGAGCTTTGGGGCCGAAGGCTAACGCGTTTAAGGCCTATTTCGAGCCGTAGCAGGGTATCGAATGCAGCTAAACCGAAGCGAAATCTGCAATAGGTGATAAGGGAGAAATGTCCAACAGATGGGCCTCTTCAAGGAAGCTCTTAAACCCACCAAATCCCACACCGTCACTCCCTAAATCCCAAACTAAACACCGCCGGGACGCAAAAATTTCAATCCGTTTACCTGAATCTTGCGCGAGGAGCATGTCTACGACACATTCAACGCCAACTCGGAGCGGGCACCGACGTGACTTGAGTGCTCTAAATACAGCAAATATATGGGTGGTTCTCGAAATTCGGGCCCCTTTTGAGGTCCCCCTAAACCCTAAACCCTAAACCCTAAACCCTAAACCCTAAACCCAAATAGTACGGCAACCTTGTAAGAACGGACACCAAGCAGGGATCCCATGTCTTTTAGAACTACCCCAGCATCGGAGCTCTGCCAGGGCCCCAAAAGTTTCCGGCTAGGGTTTATAAGGTCTAGGGTTTAGGGTTTGAGGTTCAGGGTTTAGGGTTTAGGGTTTAGGGTTTGAGGTTTAGGGTTTAAGGTTTAGGGTTTAGGGTCCTGACTAGTACACGCTTCGGTTGCAAAGGTGGCAGTTGGAAAGTCTAGGTGGGTTTGGGGCGAATGGTTAAGGCTGTAGTAACTCTAGTAGGGCCCTCAGGGGGGGGAAGGCTAGCGCTTCTAAGTTTGATAAAGGGAGGCGGAACCTTCGAAATGCTGATCTAGATTCGAAGTTGACCCTAAAAACTTAAAGGCTTAAACCCCCGGCGTGTAGCGACCCTGAACCTGACACCCAGACGCCCAGAATCCAACCCCGAACCCTGAGTCGCTCTGAGCCCGTGTGAATTTGGGGGCTTACATACTAGGTATTTATAGGGTTCCTTGGGTTCCTTTAAAGGGTTCTATAAGGGCTACTATAAGGGTTTAGGGTTTAGGCGCCCTAATGATTGGAATAGGGTTTCGGGCTCGTTGAAAGTACCTAGCCTATTCTGTGTTGCGGGGTTCATCATGATAAGTTATACTATACCCCCAATGCCCTATTCAAATTATCAAGGCCCATACATTGCTCTCACGGTCTTCCGGTTCACGTCACGGCAAACCAGCAGGTACTGCTTGAGAGCACTCTCAGGGCCCGAGATCATGAGCCGTTTAGGGTTTAGGGTTTAGGGTTTAGGGTTTAGGGTTTAGGGTCATCTGGGGCGACACGCTTGGCCGTGCAGGGAGAAGGCGCAAGCGTCGCAACGATCGTGCCGATCCCCGGCGCCCTTGACGGCTTCGGCTTCAGCGCTGTGGACATTGGCGAAACAGGCCAAGCTGATCCTTCCAAGGGGGGCCGGCAAAAAGCTTGCAATGCAGTGTCAGCGGATCTGTTTCGGAAGCATGCGCAACATGGCCGAAGTGTGTACTGAACGCTGAATTGTGGATAGTGTTGTGCGGTTGTCCTTACGGACCTTCCGGGGGGGGATTTAGGGTTTGCGGATGCCTCTGAAGGCGAAGCCGCTGGGGTTTTAGGGTTTAGGGCTTTTAGGGGTTTTGGGGGTTTAGGGCCTTAGGGCTTTAGGGTTTAGGGTTTAGGGGTTTAGGGTTTAGGGTTGAGGGCTTATGAATGAGGCAGGCATGGCGACAGCGATGACTCCCGTTGCGGTTCTTCCAGCGTTTAGAAGGCGGAAAGAAGAGCTTCTGAAGGTCGACAAACCCAAGGCATACATGAGCAAAGTCTGCGATAGCTTGGAGCCGTCTCACTGAATGGGTTTCTGTACGGGTTACCACAATGAGGGTCGCCAAAATTGGCTAAGGGTGACTATCAGGGCTAGTTTGAAGGCTTTATTCAGGGTTTAGGATTTTCGGGTACCCAGAGATTGCAACGCCCCTACTTAAGACTATACCTGGAGCTGCATGGGGATCCTTTGTGTGACGTTAGCTATGTCACTAAACCCTCATCCGTATGTCCTTGAACTTTTAAAATGGAGTCTCCGGGCCCCACCTAAAGGAGCGATTTTACAATCACCCAGCCGTGAGGGTTAGGATCTGGCTCTGGCCGTGAACCCTGAACCCTAAACCCGAAACCCCGAATCCTTCAATACCCAAGAATATACATAATATATTTACATATACATACGCATACACTGTATACTGTAGGTATTCATGTATATATACATATAATTTCAATTATTATTGTTATTAGAACTATTATTACCAGTTGTTTATTGTTAACTGTTATAAAAAGACAAGGCACACGGAGCCTTCCTGAAGGGAACCGTTGAATGCCTCCCGTAACAAATGCAGCAGGAGCGCGCCGGCAGCGTCTTAGACCTCATGGAGTCCATCCTTCGAGGTTTCTTTGGGGGCTGCAAAAGGGGCTTTATGGAAAGCTTTGGTTTAGGCTTTGAGGGTTTAGGGTTTAGGGGCCCCAAAGGACCAGGATAGCAATGGTTATGGGTGACCTAATTCAAGAATAGTATACATGGACCCTCTTGGCTACGTACTACACCTAAACCCTAAACCCCTAACCTCCTCAACCCGAAACCCCTAAACCCGAAACCCTCTTGGGACCTGGTGACCCCTATTTTACGCAGAAGCTGCGAGACTGCATGTTCACTCTGCGGAAGGTTCTTCACCGAAACTCCAGACAGACCTCTAGGGGTTGTTCCTTGGAGTCTAGCGGGGTTTTGGGTTCCTTAAAGCATAGTGTTTAGGGTTAAGGGCTCCTTATTAGTCTTTAGGGCTTGGGGCCTGGGCCTTTCGGCATAGGGTTTGACACCGAAGGCATTGTTAAGGATACTAGAAGAATTTAAACACGGTCCCTTAATTGGTTAGGGTTTAGGGGCGATATTTCAGAGGATGTTTGGATGACCTATTTAATGTTTAGGATTAGGTTTTGTAGGGGTTCTTCCAGTTCTCGGAATAGAAAAGCTGGAGGTGAGAAGACTCCATGGGACATTCCCTTGATTCGCGTGGCTGCCAAGAAAGGCGCCTATTGGCCGCGGTCCCAGGTATACTGTAGAGGTCCTATTTTTTGCGAAAGAATAATCCCTTCCCCCTATTATTAAANNATTTATGGTTTTGGGCCTACAATTGAAAGTTGATTAAAAACATTAGGGGTGGCCTAGGTTTGTAGTCAACCTGGTTTTTACCCTGCCCTAAACCTTAGGGACCTCCAAAAAAGTCATCGCCCTTGCGCTGTTTCTGGAAATTTAGGTGCCACCGAAGTCATATCCGAAATGCTGATATTCTCGCATCGGCTGCTCACGACTCCCTCAGTCCAATATGCGAAAACCCGAATATCAAGCCCTGAATAGCTAGTACTCGGTAATGTTCCTTCTTGGTGTTGCTAATCTGGGTCTCCCAGTGGGCAACTGTTCCCTTTTTTGCGGTCTCAGGTTCCTTCTTAAACAACCCAATCCTCAAAGGGAGCACTTTGTATTCTTAGGATACCGGGATATACCGGGGATCCTAGTAAAATAATCATAGTTTACTATGTCCCGTTAACACCGTATTCCGAGATGTAATTCCCTTCAAATCCCACAAATCCTGAGAGAATCCTAAACCAACCCCCCCAAAAATCAACCCTGTAAATCCGTTATAGAACCCCTGGGTAGGCCTTTCGGACATTTTTCCCTTATTGGGTTTAAGAGGATCTTATTTACGAATATTTTTCAGATGCTTTTAGGGGCCCTAAAGACCCTAAACCCTATGAATCCCTTATGGAACCCTCTCGGCTCCTCCATCAAGCTAAAGCTCGCTGGAATCCTTGTGAGTTGCCTTCCGTTTTTGTGTCGGTTTAGGGTTTCGGGTCTAGGGTTTAGGGCTTAGGGTTTAGGGTTTAGGGTTCAGGGTTCAGGGTTTAGGGTTTAGGGTTTAGGGCTTTTCTCGTGGCTTATGCTTGCAGTTTATGGCAAGTCAAAAGTTTTGGGTTGTACTTGCAGTATGATTTCTCTACAGGTACAGGGGCTGAGGTTTAGGACAGGTTTAGGGCTTAGGCTTAGACCACGAATTCTCCAATGTGTGCTTCGGGGTGGGCGTCTAGATTCCGGAGCAGGGCACTGTCGTTTCATGTTAGTTTCGAACCTGCTTCGGTCAGTGTTTAGGTGCTTCGTGCTCTGCTCCGTTTTGCGGAGGACCTCCATGGCACTTAGTTTTGTTGCGCTCACCTTGGAAGAGGAGTAATTGGAGTAGTTTCTTCATTACTATTCACTTCGTCACCCGGTCCACCGACCCTAAAACCCTAAACCCTTAAACCCCTAAACCCCTGACCCCCATGCCCTAAACCGGATCCCTACGATCTCGAAGCTAATGTTCACTCCCTTCTCCCTCTTCCTGTGCTTTCAGTCGCATTGTAGTTGCTTTTATGGGAGGTTAAACCGTAGTACCCAGTACCCAGTTCACACTATCCCCGAAACCCCAAACCCTAAACCCTGAACCCTGAACCCCCTTGAAACCTGCAAAATGCGGGGCGACAGGTTGCCCCTACCACATGCCGCCATACCCTGATATCCATGAGGCACGCTGCGATCCCGAAATCAACTCGCCATCTTCAACTCCAAATTTCGGGCTCAGGGTTTTGGGTAACCCCGAAACCCTAAAACCCCAGTTTAGAGTTTGGGGGCAGCCGGAAACTGCAAAACCACAAACCGTGAGGTGCGTGGACAACCGCCGGCTTTTCACCTACAAGCACCTGCGGCTGGGCAAGATACCGGTCGAGGCAAACCCTAAACCCCTAAACTCTGAGCCCGAAATCATAAATCCTGCACCCCTAAGCCCTGAACCCCTAAACCCGAAACCCTAAACCCCTAAACTCTGAACCCTAAACCCTAAATCCTAAACCCCTAAACCCGAAACCATCCTAAACCCGAAACCATCCTAAACCCTTAAAGGAACCGACGAGGCAGGGTCAGAACATCCCCAAGACCCTTCACGGCTGCGGGGCTTTAGGGGTTTATGGCTTATATTGGTTTTGGGGTTTAGGGTTTTGGGTTTATCAGTGTAGGGATTTAGGGTTTATGGGGTTCAGGGATTTAAGGTTTATAGGGTTTAGGGATTTAGGGTTTATAGGGTTTAGGGTTTAGGGGTTCAGGGTTTATAGGGTTTTGGGATTTAGGGTTTAGGGCTTAGGGTTTAGGGGGTTAGGGTTTATAGGGTTTACCTAGACCCTAAAGAACCTACCCTTTTTTACGGACCTTATGTTAGAAAATCACAATAAGGAGCTCTAAAAAGGGTAGGTTCTTTAGGGTCCAGATAGGGTTTGGTGGGACTTTGGGGCTTTGGGTGTTGGGGGTTTAGGGTTTAGGGTTTAGGGTTTAGAGGTTTTGGATCTGCAGGGCTTGCGGAGAGAGATTGAGTTCAGGTTTTCTCGTCGGGATGGTGGTGCTGTGTTGAGGGTATCTTGTCTGGAGAGGAGGAGGACAGGGGCAAGGATTCCTGACCGATTCACCCTAATTTTGCCGACGGTCTTGGTAGCTAGCTTTTAATAACCAGGGTGGCATAAAGATCGAGAACGAGCTCTATGCACAATCAAGTTCTTCAGTGCCGCTTTCCGCGGCTAGCTGACTTTGGATACTGACTTTTCCGTATTCGCTGACTTTGCTAGAATCTTGCGTACATCACGGCCACAGGGCAGTGGGAAGCCCAAATCTAGAACGCCGTCGAACTACAACATGCTGACTCCGCATATGTACCTGGAGACTTGTTTAGGCTTTAGGGTTGCAGGGTTCAGTGCTTAGGAGGTGACGGACTAGGTGGGGTCAAAAGCCTTTACTCAGGGACTGAATAATAGGTACGGTTATCTTACAAACCCTAAACCCTCCCTAAACCTTACACCCTAAGTGGGGTCGTAAGCCTGTGAAGCCTCCAGTCAATCAACCAGCTCACGAAACGGAACAACCGCGTAGTACTTGTAACAGCAATTACCAAGAAGGTCCGCATATCCTACTACTATGGAATTGAGTCCCCCCCAACTACAAGAGGATAGTCTTTGAGGATTTAGTTCCATGATAGTAGTACATATGGACCCTCTGGGTTAGGTCGGGGCGACTGGGTCGAAATACAACCAAACGGGAAAATGCAACCACACGGTGGAATACACATCTGAACCACTATTGTGTGCTAGCCCAAACGGGAGAAATTGCAACTGGCATATTGCGGGCCTTTATAAGTTTGGACATTTCACCCATCTAAACCAATATTCAGAGATATGAGTTGTAGTTTTACCCGTCTGGATGTATGTACTCCCATCTTGTTGTGTTTCGCCTTATTCTCGGGTTTGGGTTTAAGACTTAGGGATTAGGTAACCTATAACCGCTTTGGGGTACTATAACCCTTGAAAAATCCGAACTCCTGTTTTCTATTTCCCGTAGGAGACTCCCTAACCCTAAACACTCGCCAGGTTTTCAATTGGAAGGACAACCGCGAGCTGCAGACTTAGCTCCATTGGCGTCAGGGGGTTGCTTACGGTTCATAGGGTCCATACTGTTGATGATATAAACCATGCATTACCGTATTAAGGCCTTAAACTATGGGAATTCTGGTATATTTTTGTATTATGGGTTATGCAGGATTTATATCATCAACCGTACGGTTCAGGGTCACCGGGTTGCTGAGAGAGACCCAGAGGGTCCATACATATCAGTATTATGGAACGAGGTCCCCAAAGACCATCCTCATAGTTGTTTTGGGGGACTTAATTGCAGAATAGCAAGTAGTAGTATATATATATATATATGTATATATATATATATGCTATGGTATGATCTGATATGATATGATATGATATGATATGATATGGACCCTCGTGGTAAGAGGGAGTTCGGTTTCAGTTCATTTGGGGGCTTCAGCGGTTTGGGGTCAGAGGCTAGGTCTCGGTCTTTCTGAGTCGTTGGGACTCTTGCTTCCAGCGCGCCTCCTTTTAGGTTGTTAGGTCAGGGCCCCTAAACCCTGAGCCCTAAACCCGAAACGCTGGTGCTAAGGCAACCAGGTACTAAAGTTCAGGGTCAAGGTACTAGAGAGAAGCCCGAGAACCCTACTACACCCTAACAAACCTCTTTTTAACCAAAAACTGAACCGAAAGCTCCAAGAAGCCGTGTATAAACCCTAAACCCTGCTAAACCCTAAAGACCCTGAACCCTAAACCCTGTATAAACCCCAAAAGACCCTAAGCCTAAGCTTCAGAAAAGCCCAGGTTCGAGCTGAAATACAAGAATGGCCTACCGCTGACGCCTCGGGTAACGAGGGGTTCAGGTCTGGAGACTGACGGTTTGGGGTGTAGGGTTTGGGCTTTTATGGTGTTTAAGGTTTAGGGTTTAGGGTTTAGGGTTTAGGGTGTAGGGTTTAGGGTTTAGGGTTTAGGGTGTAGGGTTTAGGGTGTAGGGTTTATGGTGTAGGGTGTAGGGTTTAAAGTTTAGGGTTTAGGGTGTCGGGTTTACCAGGACCCCCCAATGGCCCTTGAATAGAGCCCTCTATGGCCCTTAATGGTGGGTATTTGGGGCTACACTAGAGGGTAGTTGGGGATCTAGATAGGGTTTAGGGTGCAGGGTTTAGGGTCTAGGGTTTAGGTATTTGCCTTTGAGGTTTCAGGGTTTAGGGTTTAGGGCTTAGGCTTTAGGATTTAACAGGGGTTCAAGGTTTAAGGTTTCGGGGGATTCTTGGGGTTTCAGGGCAAGAACTATCAGTACAAAGTACAGTCTAGTAGCATATAACCGAAGGCCTATTCTGATGATTCAGGCCCCTACTGTCCTAAACGCTGCGTCTACCAGAATGCATGCTCATTCTCACAGACGTGGCAAGAGTTCTTTGCAGCCCTCCAGCTGTAAGGCTGATTGCCAAGTCATCCGGTCGAAATAGCACCCAAACCCTATGGCCCTAATCGGTCAGCCGCAGACCCCAGACAGTTTGGTCCATGAAGCCCCTAACACAAATTTCACCACCAAAACCTCTAAACCCTAAACCCCAAGCCCTAAACCTTAAAACCTATACTAGAAACCCTAAGCCCCAGACCCTAAACCATAAGCCCTAAACCCACTAGACACTCAACCCTAAACCGATCGAGCCCCTAAAGGGAGTCTTTTCAACTAAAGACGGTTTAGGGTTTAGGGTTTAGGGAGATCCCTCAACAGGAATCACACAAGGGAGGCCCTTAACCCTGAACACCGGAATAACACAAAAGAAGCCTCTCATAGATCCTTCATTCGTAAACAAACCCTTATCAAGCCTTCTAGAACCCTTCAACGAACCCTTATGCGGCCTTGTAAGAACCCCCCCCCCCCAGAAAACCGCATTTTTGCTTCGGCGCTGAAGGTTCCGGCAGCAGACCAGCAACGGCCTGCGGATCGGCTTCTAGGTGGTTCCATGGTATACATGTTTGCCTCTGTGCTTGTTTTTGCTTTCTGGGTTTCTATTACTAGTATTATTCAGAATACTGATAATGATAAATATTAGTATCATTATTACCCTAAACCGTAAACCCTACACCCTAAACCCCCAAACCACAAACCCTAAACCCTAAACCCTAAACCCTAAACCCTAAACCCTAAACCCTAAACCCCGAACCCATACACCCTGAAGCCCAGGCTTGCTGCAGCGAAGCGATCGGCCTTTTCCGAGGATGCTCCAAGCAAAGGGTTCCTAGAGCACTGATGGGCTTAGGGTTTAGGTTTAGGGTTTAGGGTGTATACGGGTTTAGGGTTTAGGGTGTAGGGTTTAGGGTTTAGGGTTTAGGGACAAGGGTTTAGGGTTTAGGGTGTAGGGTTTAGGGTTTAGGGTTTAAGGTTTAGGATTTAGGGTTTAGGTTTAGGGTTAAGGGACACCCTAAGCCCTAAACCCTGGCTGTGCTTGTCTTAGGGATTCGCCTGCAGGGTACCCTTGAAGGAACTTAAAAAAGGATCCGAAAAGGATACCTTAAGGGGACCCTATTGAACGAAGCCTGAAGGGTTCAGGGTTTAGGATTTTTGTTTGAGGGTTGAGGGTTTACGGTTTAAGTTTAGGGTTCTCTGAAGGTTTACAGGGAGCTGTGGGCTTTTTTGGGAGCTGAACCGTCCAATCCTGGGGCAACTTCGGATTGGGGGTGCGGGGCTTGGGTTTTTTAGGATACTAGGGCTTTAGGGCTTAGGGCTTATAGGGTTTAGGATGTAGGGTTTGGGGTTTAGGGTTTAGGCTTCAGCGTTTAGGGTTTAGGGCTTAATTACCTAGGCCCTAAAGAACCTACCGTTGTAAGGACTTATATAAGGAAATCATAATATGGAACTCTAACAAGGAGATTGGGTCTGCGATTTGGGAGTTTCCAAAAATTAGGGTACCTTACTTTGGGGTCCTTATAATAAGGGTCCTACTATTTAGGGTACTATATTAGGGTCCCCTATTTTCAGAAACCCCCATTTCGTCATCCTGAAGCCTTCTTGCCTGGTTTGGTTTCAGGGTTCGCCAGGGCCGTGGCCTTGGAGTTTGGGGTTCAGGGTTGGGGGTGGTTTGGGG